AGTGTTTGTCGGCCGTACTCCGCGTACTTATCGGGACTTGTTTGTGTAGTGTATTAACTTCAGACGGTGAGACAACGCCCGTACCCAGGACGCTGTCGTGCTCGGAAAGCAGGAGGAGAAAGAGAGAGTGGCAGCGCGGCTGCTGCACTCAACAAAGGGGGTCCCGGTGCATCATCACCGTACCCCTACCTAAAAGGTTCTACACCATCTGCGTCACACTTGTACGTATGGCTAATGTATCCAAACCATGTCCGTAGACCCACGAACACACGATTCGGGAGGGAGCTTCACACACGAACCGACCTCTGCGCGAGGTAGTTGTTTTGCAGCCTAGTTATGCTGCCGCCATGTACCTAGGTTGTATTGCCACGTAATGCAAAAGGTTTGAGGCGATTATGTGTGGCAGGGGATAAGCATGGTGTGTTCAAAATACACGCCTTGGGTCCGAACGCACCCTCTTGCACGTTGCGCATGTAGATCCACTGGACACACCATTCCCACCCCAAGATACGATGGAAATACCCGATACAATAATCCCACCTCAGTGTCAGGCTATCACGACAAGTTTCGGCCACTTTGGGCTTCAAGAGGGGAAGTACGATTTCTCCAAGTTCAATTAATCTACGCCCCCTTGCGCTCCTTCTCTGGCCGCCTCAAACAAGTTCAGTGCCCATGCCTTCCACTCGTCCCCCCCCGCGTAGGCATTGCCGATGGAATCCTTCAGGGCAGACGATCTTCCTTGAGTCTTCGTGGCCTTGTTGGTGCTGTTCCTAGCCGGGACGGAGAAAATTTTCTCCTTGGTCGCGCCCTCAGTTCCTTCTTTAAGACGTAGTACAGGACAAAATCTCGAAATTTCGCGGTAGCCTTATCGTGGGCGTGGAGAATCGCTTGCCACTTGACCGGCGGAAAGACTCTCCCGTACAACGCCACGACCTTGTCTTTGCCATCAACGCCTTTGAATGCCGGGCTCTCCCTCAAGCACTCGATCGCGGCCCTGATTGCTGGCGCATGTTTCACCGACAGCTCTCTGCAACGGTCCCTTTCCGTGCGTGGTTTCTCGATGAAATGCGATTCGAAGTCGAAGTTGGCGACTTCGCGCAGCTGGGCACTCGGTGCCAGCTTTTCTATCGTGCTCGAAAGGATCCTTTTCGTCAACGTCTTGTAGAGACGATTGGCTACCTCCTGCCTCTCGTCCAAACCGATTCGCGCAAACGTATCAGGGCCGAGTGAGACGGAGAAAAGCTCGGATACGACCCTCATATCATTGGGCGAATGACGACGGATCGCAACCTTAACTACACATGTGGGCCAAACAACATCATCAGACCCTAGCCTCATCCATAATTCTTGCTTCACGAATACAGGAAGACGGGGTTCTCGAAGCGCCTTCTTCGTAATGAAAGGCGTGGAGAACCGACTGGCCCTTCAAGTTGGCGTGGCTGCGTCAAAAAATGCAATGGCCGTCACAATTGCTGTGAAAGAGGCCACAGCAGTCAGCCATTGGTTGATTCAACGGGGACGAACAGCCTGATTTTTTTAAGCCAGTCAACAAGCAGCGGTCATTCACCCTGCAGATAGCTTCGGACATTTTTTTTTTCTCATATCGCATGGAAGGAACAGAACTTCCAACCTCGAAAATAGCGACTCCTCCCACGAACACTGCTCCTCAGACTACACTAAGAAGTTTCAGCACTAAGTAATAGACTGGAACACTGCTTGCTTTGTGGTAGGAACCGGATCGATAAAGTACCCGCCGTTACGTGATATCCAGGCGCCCAGCCCTGATGGGTTCTATCCATCTCACCAACCCCGGTGAAAGTTGTCCCAAGTGTGCGTGCAATCTACTGACCAAGCTACAAAAACAAACAATAGACACGAAGGGAGAAAAACGCATCCGATCCCTAGGTCGAAAGCCCATTAAGTCTGCGGAGAGATGGTGCTGCTGGTCGCCGCCTTGCCTATACCATCATGTCGTCCCACGCGGCATCGCTGTTACAAACCAGAGCCTCAACGTCAGTCCTAGCAACGTGAAGAGGAGGGTAGCATAGCAGCGAGGGTAAAGACAAGTAAATACTTACTTATAAACAATCACGTCAAACATTGTGAAGTAAGTCAGCGAAGCGATCGTCTCTCAGTCCAAGGTGGCCCCTTCAAGCGACTAGCTCGCACCCACGCAACTTCTGACCGATCTTTTTTCTTCGACGCGCGAGCTGGACGACAGCCCCGTAGAGAACGCTTCAGCCTTCGATTTCGAATATGCATCTTTGTAAGACATACTATTTTTTTCCGCGTGGTTGTGACGTGTGTGTTCGAGCCACTTACTTTTCCACACCCACAAATCTCTACCGTGTCTGCGTCTACGCACACACCCACTGATAGCGCATGAGCAGTCACGTGCAATGCCCATTCCTTGGCACCTGCTTGCTCTCTAGTCTACAACACTCATCGTTTCTCTATACACATACCCACACACACACCTCCTCACCCGGCTTACACACAACCGCTGACTGACAAATGGTACAGTACAATACACCGTACTTCACTCTCTTCCATGTCGTGCTTGCCTACTACCACATGCTTAACGCAATCACCGCCTTGGGGGGAGGCTCCCGCGCTGGAAGCCGGAACTGTTTGACTGACATTGGAAGGCGGAGGGTTCTTAAGGAGAGAGAAATTCATTCATGGGGCTCACCTTCCATCTGCCGGCACAGGCACCATGCAAGACAGCACCACCTCCCCGTCCACCTCTGCCATACACGCCTCGCACTGGCCTGTCAAGCAGAAGGTGTTGTCGATCACCATGGCTCCGCACTCGGTGGCGCTCTTGAGCAAGCTAGAGCCTGCCGGGGCAAGAACCTGAAAAAAAAAAAAAACGGGTAAGGCAATGGTGCAGTGGGGTGAATCTTTCAAGTCTCTTCAGCGTGTGACTACGGAAGACGTCTGAGCCGATTTGACCAGTACGGATGACCGAAGAGACGGGAAATGAATGAAACGGTTATTGATGCCAGGACAATTATAACACTTACACCACCACCACCACCAACAGCAACAACAACAACAACAACAACAAGCGGACGAACACGTACAGCACTCCTGTGTAGCGAAATGTTACGGGCGCTCACCTTATCCTCGTAAGGCTGCCACACGACGGACACCTGCTCGACATCCGGTCCTGCCTCCACGGTGTCGTTGAGGTAAGACCCGGGAGGGAGCCCACGCTCTTGCCCCGTCATCGCCGCCATGAAAAATTCCTGCACACACACACACACACACACACACACGCACGCACGCACACCGCACAACGTGAGACGGGGCGCAGCAACACGTTAAACGCACGCATCCCCTTGACTATACTCGTCGTTGACAAAAACAAAAGACACGCCCATGAACTACTACCATCGAATCTTGATTGAGGATTGTGTTGTATTGTACTCGCGTTTGCTTTGCTTTATTGCGGCGTCAACCATCGTCGCCCCGTGCGCTAACCGATCATTTGTGCCCCTCTCCCAGTCTCCCTTGACACGATGGGCCAGAGCCGGGGTCACACAGAGGACGCGGTTTTCTCCACCGAGGTCCCCACTCCCATCCTTCGGCCCTGCGGGACTCCTGCGGAGACGTGGGCTATCAATAAGTCTCCTCTTGCGAGTCGATATCGCCATCTCACGTCCAACAAGCTATACCGTAGAACGGCTGTGAACCGGCGAAGCGCACGGCCCGAAACAATCCCGTTTTCCGGAGGGAAACGAGTCGTTGCATGCCATGTCATGGTAGGCACACAACCCACACACTGCTTGCTGCGTTTCCCGGCTGGTGCTTGGACACGGCGCGCAAGTTGCAAGTAATCACAAACACTGAAGCAATCCTGACTCCCGTTATCCACCACTCGCAGCATACCCTGCACAAGCACGACAACTGGGCGACGACAAGAGAGCCCACACAGCGGTGCACGCCTGCGTTCTAGACAGAGTTGCACTGCCGCCGCTCTTTAGTCTTCAAGTCACAAGAAGCCCTTGCAACTGATGTGCTTGGTAGAACAGCTGCTCTCGAGTTACGTGCCCCCACCGCTTCAAGCCTGCATCCCTCCCGAACGAGCTTACAAACTACCGTTGAACTTTCATGGTGAACCGACCCTAAAACGTATCGATAAATATCATTGTCGCGCGATGTACATAGCCTACATATCGATTTGTCGCGGAAAGTACATATCGAAATGATTCCTCGTTGTGATGCCTGCACATGGACGCAAAACTAGCGGGGATAGCGGTACGGCGGCATGCTCACCTCTCGGATCTGTTCCCCGGACTTCCTAGTTCCGTCATCGTTCAGCACGCTCACAGTGTCTGCCTGTTCTGGCGTCATCGTGGCAGTCAACCTGCCGGCAGAAACAAAAACCAAACGGCGAACTACTGTTCGGCGGACAACAGCAGGTTGGTGACCATTCCAGTGGGAAGAAGATACGGTGTGCGCGTGCAAACGCTCGTGTACGGTGTGCACGTGCAAGGGTCTGATTGTGCTGCACCGTACATGTCTCCTGGTGCCAATGCAACCGCAAAAGAGAGTTCGCGTTATTAATTTTCGGGTGCAGCGCGCCACACAGTAGTGCAGAGATACTGGAGGGAAAAACTGCAGAATGTCGGGACAACCACAACGAACGACGACGGCGACAACGGCGACGAAATCGGCGCCAGCAATAACAGCAGCAACAGCAGCATCGTCCTCCACCCTGGGGGCCGACGCCAGCCAGAACGACTCCTGAACGCATCGTCTCTTCAAAAGCGGTGCAGCAAACTGTTGCTCGAGGTGGCGAGAGCACGGAAAAAACTAATTCCTCCTGTGTAACGTGGACAAGACAACTCGGCTCGTCGTGAGCGGTCGTATGCGGCGTCAGCCAACCTCAATCCGAGAAGGAGCAAGCCAGCGGAAAATTACGTTTGACGCTGATACGTCACGACGAGCCAGCAGTCGCAGTCGTTAGCTCTACTACTCTACAAGCAACGACCCCACGCTGGGGTGAAGAACAACGGCACACACCGGTATTCTCCGAAGAAGAACGCGACGGCACAATCACCGGTCTCGGCGAGACCAAAAAACATACTCGGTTTGCAAGACAATCGCCCGACCATGAAAAAGTTTCGGGCATGCTCTAAAAACATGCATAAAGTTCACCCCAGTGGCCAGACAAAGAAAAAATGAGGCGATTCTCTCGTCAACAAGAAAGAGACCGTGGCATCCCACGAAAAGGCTGCACTTGTAGGTCTCGGAGCGCGAGATATCTTGGGTGTGGAAACGCACCTAGAACGGACGACGCCGGCTCGCCGCCCTTTCGTGGAGATGGACCCTGCAGCCAGGCTCCTCGCTGTCCGTCTCAAGTCCACGGCCGGCTTCCCCACGAAGAACGCCTGTCCGCGTTGTTGGTGGGACAGAAAAATGCCAAAGGCCGCCACCGCGCTCGCCGCCACTGCTCTGCTGAAGCTCATGCTGGTCTACGACTATGTTATGTGAGTTGAGGTCGCGCTATAAATAGACAGCGCCGGACGGCAATCTGGCGCTGATGAGAGGCGGTCGGGCCGGTGAAACCCCAACGAGGAAACGACGATTTCAGTCTGCGGTACGATACCGCAACAGGAGCTGCACTGTCGAAAATACGGCCCGAGTCTGTAGCGTGTATCATCCCGTCGCAGAGAAACAACAACGCACGTGGGTGGTGGAGACGAATAGGCGTGGGACAGGCAGCGAGAGAGCGAGCGAGCGGGCGAACGGGGGACAGCATGAGAGAGGGGTCGAAAAAGTGATCCTGCTGTAGCACATCTGCGAACATAATTCTGCGGTATTACGGCGCCGAAGCATTGCCAATGGCACTTGAAGGAATCACCCGTGTCTTCTTGTCTCTGGGAGATACAACATGCGTCGTCCCTCCGGCCAACGACAACCAAGCACCCAGAGGTCAGCCACGACACGGAGGGCTTGGACACAGGTGTCCGTTGATACTTCGTACCAGGTAGTTGATACGATAGAGATGGATCCGTTGGGTTATACTCTACCGTTCTCGCGATAGAAATATCTCAGGCAGGAACCACAGGAGGGGGTCCAACCCCCCCCCTCCTATGTGACCCCGTTTGGGTCGTCTAGCTGGTCGAAGTGGAGGATAGGGGGCAGAGGGGCAGACGACAGAGTCCAATGATGGGAGACGAAAAGAATAAATGCACTTGGAAAAAATAAAAATGAACATAAATACCTTTTTATACACACCTGCTGCGAACAAGGAACATGTTATCATACTGCTGAAGCAGGCAGTTGTTCTTCAAGCGAGGCGGTCAAAGTACAGGCGCTGCTCTGGCTTCGTGTCACGTCCGCATTGGACCGAGCCAAACATAACGTTAATGCCTACTGGAACACAGGAGCAGTACCTGGAGCCAAGCGACACCTCCGAAACCACCGCCATCATCGAGTGGCCCGATGACAAGTGATGACCGTGTCAAATCATGATCCGGCTTCAACACTCCGTGCTCTGTGCCCCGTCCATTTTCGGACCTTCCTCTTGCCACAGGGAGCTACGGCAAAGCGCTCTTCTTTCCAACAACACACCCACGGTGCACGCCCTGCGTGCTGGTTTGTGCACCATGCCAATAGCCAAGAAGCAAGAGACAAGCTACAACCAACACGCCCGATCCTCTATCCTCATCGGCTGACATGTGGCAGCGTCTCGAAATAAAGCGGCACGCACGCGCATGATAACGACGGCCACCGCCGCGCGCTAGAAGCAGTCCTTCCGACAGAGCTCTTCGGGGGTGAGACGAACGCCAGTCACTCGATGACCATGGCGACAGGCATCGACTGCAGTGCTCACCTGCGCTGAAGACTCAAGGAACAGCGTGTCACGTATAACTTAACAACTGCTCGCGGTGTGGTGTGCGGTCCATTACATGATCATGACTGCTGTGAGAGGTTTGAACCGGGTGCTCCGCGAATGTCTTGTGGGCACCCTCGCCAGTACAGCCCCCGCCCTCGAGCAGCAGCTTGCACACACTGCTTTGCACTTTGCTCTGCTGTCTGGTGACTACTCTCTAGCTGCTGAGGTAGAGTTACAAATTCGCGGCGCAAGGATGGCGGCTTCTTACTCTACTGCTCGCCAAGGCCTGCTTCGCGCGCTTGCTCGCTCCCCAAAGCTCGGCAGCCCTCTTCCTGCCACGGCGGTCCGTTCACTGATATCTGTTCAAGTCCCCGCACCGCAGCAGCAGCTGCAGTTGCGACGGGAGACGCTGTCGAAGAGCAGCCAGGCATGGTCGGTGGAGCCACAGCAGCAGATGCAACAGCGACGGAGATTCGCCGCGGCCAGTGGGAGGGACGAGGATGGCTCAGATGACGACTTCAAGCCCAAGAGGAAAGCAGTACCAGAGGGCGCTGACGAGGTTTCGGACCTCATCAAGAAGCAGGTCAGGTGCGGCGTTTCAGCTGTCATGGGGCTTTTGACTACTTCACTGCAAGAGGTGTCAGTGCCGGCAAGCGTACCGAGTAGCCTTTTACGACACTGCGGTAGACCTGGCAATTGCTATGATCTATGATCTCTTCAAGCTTCAAGGCCACTCTTGTCATGGGCACTAGTTCCTCCTTGGAACCAATGTACTGCTGCGGTGTTCGATGTACAATGTCCCGACATTATGCCCCGCCTCGAAGTATCTTCGGTCAGTCTGTGCTGCTGTCACCGTAAGGTCGATGCATACGCATCGCAGGGTCAGTTTCCCGCACCGCCCCGCACACCCAACACAAAAACGATGCTCTTGTACACAGCACCGCCGCTCGTGTCGATGCACTTCTGTCTCTCGATTCGTAAAAAACAATTTGACCCTTCGTTGCGTTCACACCGCTTGTACGCCAAGACCCACCTAAAGCACCAGCTACCCTGCTTAGGTTTACCCTTTCAAAGTCGTTGACTGCTTTCTGCTTCTGCTGGCTGCCTGTCACCCCCTGATGTGGATTGCTGCGCTGTGGGTATCGCTCAATGTATTTAGGTGGAGAGTAACCCCGTAATGCTTTACATGAAAGGCACCCCCGCCCAGCCTCAGTGCGGCTTCAGCAAGCAGGTGGTCAGCATCCTTCACGCCCAAGGTAAGGGGCATTATTTCGGACCCTTGTCAGCAAGTAGAAACATGTGGGGGTTCCTAGGAAAGTTGAAGTTTGCGTGTGTTACGCGAGTAACGTTGCTAAGAAGGGTTGGGTGTGCCACTTTGTCAAGCACGCAAACGTTTGATGAAATATGAGCAGCATGAATGCACACCAGGTTGTATGTACCACCGATAATGTTGCCTCGTACAAATGGTAAAGCAACATGCACACACAACGCACATTCGAGCACTCTCATGAGCAGGACCTTCGCAGCAACAGCAATAGTAACCTTTGAGTGCGTTTGTGGTCCGTGGAGCAGGATATGCTGTGCCTGTTCATGACCATGACTGCCAAAGCAATACCTATCTGTTTTGTACCCGGTCGGTCTACACCTGCTCATAACTGCTTTTAATCGTGCGTCGTGTGAGAGGAAAGCTGTTCAGGATTATTTCCATCACGTCTTCTCTCTATGTTTGCCAGCCCACCACGACCAAAGCATCATTGCCTCAACTACAACGGCGAGACTAACCCGAAAGGTATTTATTCCCTGAGAAGGCAAATGATCACCTGCCAGAGCGTTTCGGCCAAACGGAGACGGCCAAACGGAGAGGATATACGCATAGCTCTGTCTTGAAACGGGGTGCGTGAACACAAGGGCAGAAGCAAAGGAGGGAAGAATCGAACAACCACATTCCGTATCCTCCGCGCACATTGCCGTGCTTAACTTGACGCCCCGCCGGCTTGCTCTTGACTTTTCGCCTCCGGCCGTGTGCGTCTCCTGCTGTTCGAATGTATGTGAATGATCGCGGTCTCTTTTTCGGCAGGAGTGAGCTTCAGCAGCGTCAACGTGTTGGATTACCCTGCTCTTCGAGAGGGCATCAAGACATTCTCGTGAGTCTTACATACGTACAATAGATGGCAGCATTGGTGACTGAGCGGGTCTGACTTGGGCAGAAACCAGCAGCACCCACCGCTCACCGAGTAGTGTGCACCACCCCCATCGTCAGGCATTGTGCGCTGCTTCCATCTTTTCTGCATGAGTTTGCAAGTTGCTGCTTAGTCCGTTTCCGGCACAATTTTTGGTCGCATGGCAATCGCAGGATGTAACTGCAGGGCAAGAGCGGTACCCGACTGTCAAGGTTTGGATCGAAATATTGGTGGGAGTACGATGGCACTTGCTCTAGCTAACCCTCTCCCTGCTGACGACAATGTATGTCTTCATCACCTGGGTGCTGAACCCTATGACTCATTCCTACCCACGCGGCCGACTTATTTTCGTAACGTCAAATCCAGGGAGTGGCCCACCATCCCTCAGCTGTACGTTAAGGGAGAGTTCGTCGGCGGGTGCGACATTTTGACGCAGCTTCACCAGTCCGGCGACCTCGAAACCATGCTCAAGGAGGCCAAGCTCAGGGATTGATTGATAATGCCATCAAGCGCATCATCTACAGCAGCGCCCTCAGTACCATGCGGTCGAACCCAGAGCGCGCTCTCTGCGGAAAAACTCGCATTAGGAGGAATGCTTTTATCAAGCCCTATGTTTCCTGGTATTCTCCAGAGTGGTGTGTTTTTGGACCAAGGCCCAGTGGGGCAAAACCGACGCCAGTTTTGTGGTTGGCCTGAGTGCAACGAACACGCGGAGAAATTAACGCAACCTCACACCACTGTGCCAGCCTACGAATGGTTTGCTGTCCCGGGCTCTCCTGCCGTAGCTACGTTGACGAGAGGACGCATATAGGTCGGGAAAACGGAATTGTGCTGTTGCAGGAATTGTTGATGTCACGTCATGCACCGTGCCTCTTATGGATTTATTCTGCAACGACTGCTGGGCACGGGAAGGGGGAGTGTACGATCAACACCAACACACCTGGCCAGACCCGAGGCTGGTTTTCGGTTTTCGACACGGCTTTCTCCTGTGGGACCTTCTGGCGATTCGTTTCAAACTGTCCAACAATTACGATAGCAGACTGTGTTTCGCACTCAGACGCACTGCAGCTGTGGAGAGTTCGGGGTTCGTGCTTCCTATTTCAAAAGCAGCAGAGGTGGTGTCGTGAGGCTGGGGTGCTGCACGTACACACCGAGTTACAACAGACGGCCCAACAGGCTAAAGTTGGCCGCGGTTAGTTGCTGCCCTTCGACGCACGACCGATTGCGCGAACGGATTTTGGGTCTGCTCGAGGGGGCCGTCTCTCTGCGTGCTCCGCGAGTGTAAGACGGGAAGGGCACACTGCTGAACCCTTCTCGCGATACAGTTTGTAGGCAAGAACCGCAGCAGGAGACAAGAGGAAAAAGTAGTTATTTTGTGACTACCATCCTCCCGTACGTGACTATGGCTGTTGCGCCAAGCCTAAGAAGGAACCCTAAATGGATGGGGACTAAATACACTACCGTAAGGTTGCGAGTCAGCTAGAGCACAGGGGTGCGAGCGATTTTCAAAGCGTAGTCTCCACCACCAGGAGGTCGCCACTGTCGAAAAGGGCGGTTTTGGAAGTATCTCATCGAGGGCTTTCCTGAGGTGTATCAGCTGGCGCTCGCACCTACCTGGTTGTGGAAAAATTACCCTTTGAAAATCGTTCGCACCCCTGTGCTCTAGCTGACTCGCAACCTACGGTACAATGAAATGACAACAAGAACAAGAGTCACCCGGGGACAAAAAGGAGACAACAAAGGGCAGTCAGTCAACTCAAGCTAGATACCGTACCACGACCACCTGCCGCTGTGTATTCAGCACGATGAGTCATGGCCCCACGATGCAGACAGCATCGCTCCCAGGTTCCGGCCATATGTCGATTAAACTTGCCATGGCGCACGCAGCTTGCATGAACCAGTAAACCAAAAATCTACCGTGTTAGTTCAACAGCCAAGCTACTGGCGGTTCGATTCGCGATTGCCATGCGTGAGAGGGTCGTAGTAGTCTGACTTGGGCCCCTCGCTGCGGTGCTCGAAGTTGGACTCCTCCATGCCGTACAGTTCCTTGAGCTCGCGGAAGTCAGCTGCGACAATCGGATTGAGGAATAAAAAAATAGGAGACAACGCGTCGGTGCCTTGGAGAGGGAGCGGGTAACCCTTGTGCGATTCTTGGAACAAGAAGGGCGCGAGGTCTTCTTGAGAACTTGGCGTGTGTATCTCCTTCCCAAGCATGCTGGGATTATCCAACGTCGATGGAGGCAACCGGTGGATGGAAGCATTTGATGGCCGACAAGTGACTCGCAATAGTAGTACAGTGTGTGTGTGTGTGTGTGTG